AGTCCGGGACGCTTTCCCCCCCCTTCCAGTCCGGACGGTTTCCCCCTTCCAGTCCGGACAGCTTTACCCCCCTTCCAGTCTTCCGGACGCTTTCCCCCCTTTTCCAGTCCGGACGCCTTCCAGTTTACCCCACCCTTCCAGTCCGGACACTTTTATTCCCCTTCCAGTCCGGACGCTTTCCCCCCTTCCGTCCTTTATCCAGTCCGGACGCTTTTATCCCCTTCCAGTCCGGACACTTTCCCCCCCCTTCCAGTCCGGACACTTTCCCCCCCTTCCAGTCCGGGATCACTTTCACCCCCTTCCAGTCCGGACACTACTTTCACCCCTTCCAGTCCGGACACTTTCCCCCCTTCCAGTCGGACACTTTACCACCCCTCCCAGTCCGGACACTTTCCCCCCTTCCAGTCGATGGGCACTCTCACCCCACTTCCTGTCCGGACGCTCTTCCCCCCTTCCAGTCTGGACGCTTTCCCCCCCTTCCAGTTCCGGACGCTTTCCCCCCCTTCCAGTGCCGGACACTTTCCCCCCCTCCCAGTCCGGACACTTTCCCTCCTCCCAGTCCGGACACTTTCCCCCCCTTCCTTGTCCGGCACTCTCACCCCCTTCCTGTCCGGACACTTCCACCCCCTTCCAGTCTGGACACTTTCCCCCCTTCCAGTCTGGACGCTTTCCCCCCCCTTCCAGGTCCGGACGCTTTCCCCCCTTCCAGTCCGGACGCTTTCCCCCCTTCCAGTCCGGAACACTTTTACCCCCTTCCAGTCCGGACACTATTTCACCCCCTTCCAGTCCGGACACTTTCACCCCCTTCCAGTCCGGACACTTTCACCCCCTTCCAGTCCGGACACTTTCCCCCCCCCTTCCAGTCCGGACACTTCCACCCCTTCCAGTCGGACACTTTCCCCCCCTTCCAGTCCGGACACTTTCACCCCCTTCCAGTCTGGACACTTTCCCCCCTTCCAGTCGGGACACTTTCACCCCCTTCCCAGTCCGGGACACTTTCCCCCCCCTTCCAGTCCGGACACTTTCCCCCCTTCAGTCCGGACACTTTCCCCCCTTCCAGTCCGGACACTTTCCCCCCCTTCCAGTCCGCACACTTTCCCCTCCTTCCAGTCCGGACACTTCCACCCCCTTCCAGTCCGGACACTTTCTCCCCCCTTCCTGTCCCCAGGCCAATTTTCAGCTTTCAGTGCTATCACACATTGAATGACAATTCAATTGAATGACAAGAAATAAAAAAGGTTGAAACTAACAACCTCCCCACCCCCTGGTTTCTGCTGTACTTACCTCCGTGGGTGATTAGCTGTCAGTGCTCACGTAGTGGTCTGGGGATTTGAAATCCCGCTCTTCTTCCACTTCTTTCTGTAAGGCTTCAGGACAGATTAAATTCAGTTCTGATTGCTCAGTGCTAGCATGTGGATTGCTTTGACCAATCAGAATCCTTCTGATCCATCCGGAAGCCTTAAGAAAAGAAGAGCAAGTAAAGCAGGGATTTCAAATCCCTCCTGATACCAATACACCGGCTGTGTGTGGTCACTGACAGCTGAAAAAGTGAACTAACCCTTTAACCTTTTCACTTAACCTCTTCACGTCCGGCGCCAAACGCTAAAATGTGCGGTCTCCCGGAGGTCTGGGCCTAGGACGCGGAGTGGCCGCACATTTGCATTCTATTAAAAAAGGACATATGTGCCAAAAGCGCGCGCCCTTCGAGCTCCCAACAGACGTGTCCAATACTCATGGAAGGCCCCGATCTCCTCTTTCGATCGGGACCTTTCCCAATCACATTATTATTATTATAATACACAGTATTTATAAAGCGCCAATAGTTCTTTTTTTTTTATATTTCGCTCAGCGCTGTACATTACAAAGGGGGACCAGAACATGTGACAGAACAACAACAATACAATGCAAAACATGAGGGGATTGAGGGCCCCTGCTCCTTGGAGCTTACAATCTAGGAGGGAGGGGATGGTGGCACAGGAGGAGATAGCTGTGGGGGATGGAGTGGTAGGAAGAAGTGGAGGAGGTCGGCAAGTTTAGCAGGGGGTGGGGTTAGGCTTCCCTGAAGAGATGGGGTTTCAGGGTGTGCCTAAGGAGAGGAGAGTAGGTGATAATCTGATGGGTTGGGGCAGGGAGTTTCCAGAGGATGGGTGACACCATGGAGAAGTCCTGGAGGCGGGCGCATTGGGAGGAGGAGACCAGGGAACTAGAGAGAAGGAGGTCTTGCTTTGTGAGGATGCGGAGCGGAGTGTGCCCGTGTTGGGCTGTGGTACGGGTATGGATATTAGGTCAGTGATGTAGTTCGGGGCAGTATGGTGGACGGCTTTGTACTTCAGTGTTAGGATTTTGAATTTGATATCCGTTGTGCAATCGGAAGCCAGTGGAGGGATTGGCCAGCAGAGTGGGGGTGGCGGACACTGAGTTGGACGCCCAGAGGAGGGATTGGCAGAGGGGGGTGGCGGGAGATGGAGCGGTTGGAAAGGGTGAATGAGTAGTCTGGCAGCCGTATTCAGGATGGACTGAAGCGGGGATAGCCAGCGGCGAGGCAGGCCAGTGAGGAGGGATGTTGCAGTAGTCGAGTCGTGATATGATGAGGGAAGTGGATGAGCTGTTTAGTGGTGCTCTGGGGTTTAGGAACATTCACCGCGTATATTTGGTGATGACCCTATACCCTCGCCCCCCTCAAATCTGGACTTTCTGTAAACTCTTACAAGGGCCGGGGTACTCGCCGGCGTGAAGGGGTATTTAACCCATGAAGGTGGATTCCCATACCTTGTAGCAATTTCCCCCACATTAGGAGAGGTTCCCCTCATAAATCGTATTATCCCTCCATCACTCAATATCTACATCTGATTGAATTAAACAATTAAAAATAACAAAAAAAAAAAAAAAAAAAAATTCCTATATTAAATCTATTTCTACAAAAAATAAAAAAAAAGGTTCACAAAACTTACCCATCAAAACTCAAACTTTTAACCTAACGCCTCTCTCACTACCAACAAAACCGGTCTAAGCAAACCATCCAAAAAATAAAAAATTCATGAACCTCCCACCCAAACCCCCCACCCCACCCAAACATCAAACCCCCAAACATCCACACTCACATCCTAAAATTCCCATAAATAATTCCCCATCACAATAAATAACACCCACACCCTACTTAAAATACCAACACATGCCACCTAAATCCACCAACATATTGTACATCATTTCTTTCCCTACACTTCAAAATTAAGGGATAGGATGTAGGGCGTATGTCTTCCACGTGGTATCCAATCTCCCACCTTCAGGACCGGGGAGAGAGAGATACAGCATGGCAATGGCCTTTTACAACGGACCGATGGCCTACTGCCAGTTCTTGCACATGGCGAGAACAGCGTTGTGATAACACTTCCCCCACGTGTGAGGATTTACAAATTTAAAAGTGAAGGGATCTCCACATCTTCCATCCCCTCTAAGGGTTTTAAAGACACGTTCCCGAGTCGTTGGACCTCACTCACTGCAAAAAAAAAAAAACAAAAAAAGGAAACATGGTCAGCACAGCAGCCGATATACCCGCTGAGTCTTCACCGGACTTACATGATATATAACAGTGATATAAATTTGGTGAAAAAAAAAACACACAGAACTCAGGAGGACATGAAAGGAGGCAGAGGGTTAGGACTTGTTTTTGGAAAGGTGATCTGATACTTCTATAGTGATGCCAATACATGGCTGCTGTATACAGCACTTCTAGATCTGTGTTGCTGAGGTTATTGGCCCATCCCATATGAACAATCACTTTCAGATTTTATTATACTTTCAGTCCCAAAAACTTTTTTTTAACCACCTCCCGTCCAGCCCCATTGTATATAAAACGGCCAGACGGTGGCAGTGCAGGGTCATTTATAAACGGCCTCCCCGCCCCCTGCTTGTGCGCGCTCTCTGGGTGAGTGCGCAGCACAGTGATCCGGTGCCCGCTGTGTCCTCCGGAACACCGATCGTCGGACGGGACCCCTGTGCGAGGTCCCGATCATCTGATCACTGATTGGCCAATCAGTGATCACATGCAGAGTAGTAAGCAAGATGTCACTTCTGACATCATTGCTTACTACGTGTGAAATCTGTGAAAGATCACCGAGGTCACATGATACAAGGCTATTCACAACAGTCTTGTACCATGTGACAAGCTGTGACCAATCACAGCTCACACAGTAGTTCTCAATGGCTATAATAATGCAGTCAGATAGGAGAAATGATTGCTTTTTATTACAGCCTTATATGAGTGTAAAACCAATCAGTGTAAAAGAAAAAAAAAAATCTTCATCACACCCACAAGTACTGCTAGGGGACAGTATGTTAAAAAAAACAAAAAAAACCCATAAAAATATAAAAAAATAAAAAATAAAAATGCAAAAAAAAAGTTTTAAAATTATGATTTTTAGTTATAAACTAATTTGGTTTTTTTTTTTTTTTTTTAAATAAAAAGATAACGGAATAAATTTTGGCCAAGATTTATGATGAAATATTATTTATTTGCTAAATTTTATAAGATAAACACTTTTTTTCAAACTTTTTGGACTTTTTCAGTTACATAGCAAAAAAAAAAAAAAAAAAAAATCCCAGTGGTGAATAAATACCACCAAAATAAAGTTTTATCTGTCTAAAAAAATGCTCAAAAATTCATTATGGGTACAGTGTTGCATGACTGCGCAATTGTCATTCAAAGAGTGATGATAGCGCTGAAAGCTGAAAATTGGCCTGGGCAGGAAGGAAGGGGGTAAAGTGTCCGGACTGGAAGGGGGGAAAGTGTCCCGGACTGGAAGGGGGGTAAAAGTGTCCGGACTGGAAGGGGGGAAAAGTGTCGGGACGGGGACTGGGGAAAAGAAAAAGGGGAACTGGAAGGGGGGGTATTTAGTGTGTCCGGACTGGAAGGGGGGGGGAAAGTGTCCGGACTGGAAGGGGGGGAAAGTGGTCCGGACTGGAAGGGGGGGGGAAAGTGGTCCGGACTGGAAGGGGGGGAAAGTGTCCGAACTGGAAGGGGGGGAAAGTGTCCCCGGACTGGAAGGGGGGGGAAAGTGTCCAGGACTGGAAGGTGGGGGAGTTAAGTGTCCAGGGGACTGGAAGGGGGGGAAAGTGTCCGGACTGGAAGGGGGGGAAAGTGTCCGGGACTGGAAGGGGGGGAAAGTGTCCGGACTGGAAGGGGGGGAAAGTGTCCTGGATGGCGGGGACTGGAAGGGGGGGAAAGGGGGGGGGAAAGTGTCCGGAACTGGAAGGGGGGGAAAGTGTCCGGACTGGAAGGGGGGGAAAGTGTCCGGACTGGAACTGGGGGGGGGAAAGTGTCCGGACTGGAAGGGGGGGAAAGTGTCCGGACTGGAAGGGGGGGGAAAGTGTCCGGACTGGAAGGGGGGGAAAGTGTCCGGACTGGAAGGGGGGGAAAGTGTCCGGACTGGAAGGGGGGGGGGGAAAGTGTCCGGACTGGAAGGGGGGGGGAAAGTGTCCGGACTGGAAGGGGGGGGGAAAGTGTCCGGACTGGAAGGGGGGGAAAGTGTCCGGACTGGAAGGGGGGGGAAAGTGTCCGGACTGGTAAGGGGGGGAAAGTGGTCCGGGGACTGGGAAGGGGGGGAAAGTGTCCGGACTGGAAGGGGGGGGAAAGTGTCCGGACTGGAAGGGGGGGAAAGTGTCCGGACTGGAAGGGGGGGAAAGTGTCCGGACTGGAAGGGATATAGGGTACAATAGAATTTAAATGGCTCCTGAGGATTAGAGTCCTTTTAACTATGCTGGGCCTGTATTTGTGGCAAAATGTCCCCTACGGAGCTTAGAACAGGTGTCTGCAAACTTTGCAGTATGATGGCCACATCATATGTTTTGCAAATATTTGCAAGCTGAAAAAAATCTACGTTGAGGCCCCCTTACATTAGGGTCAGAGTTCCCCCCTTATATCAGGGTCCCCATTGTGATTGGTGTCACTTTGGGTGGGGGGCTCATGGAACCCAGCTTACTTCGCAGAGGTGGGGAGACCCCTGTCTCAACTCCCTATATCCCTCTTATGTGCAAGTCACCCTGTGCCTCTTAGGGGCGCAGGGTGACTAATGGTCGCTGAGAATGCGGTTGGAATTACTTCAGATGGGACAGTAATATTTATCAGCCATATAAAGACTATTCCTGGTTGTTGATTCTGAACTAGACATGTGAATTGAAAGAGTTGATCACGCCGGCCTCTCCTCTACTACTCCGGTGTAGGAGCCGGACCATCTGCTCTGTAGTGAGATCCTAATTCATCAAACCATTGTCTAGGTGTGAATTCCCATTCACCTTTAGTTTTGGTCACCCAGCTAGCTAACCTAATGAACTGGCACCCCTAACCACAAACGCATCATCAAACCCAGACCGCTTCAACCCTGGCAGACCGACAGCACTAAACGCCTCAAATGTCGCAGTCGCGCACTGGAGAGACTGTGGCGCAAAACCAGGTCCCCTCATACTTTCTCCCTCTACAAATCTGCATTTCTTATCTACACCTCCTCCCTCCACGCCGCCAAGCAGGCCTACTTTGTTAACCTAATAAACACCCTCTCCTCCTGCCCCCGCCGACTCTTCTCCACCTTCAACTCCCTGCTCTCTCCCCCCCTCCTCCACTCAGTACCTCTCTCACCGCCCACGAGATTGCCACCCATTTCCACAACAAGATTGACGCTATCCGTAAGGACATCGTCAACTTGCAATCTACCTCCCCACCTAGCCTCCTCACCCCCGTCACCCCCCATCTCCCCCCTCCTCTGCCCTCACAACCGCACTGCCCCCCCACCTCTCCCAATGCCCCGCCCACCATAACCCCCCCCCGCACTGCACTCCCTCAGTCCTGTCACTACTGAGGAAGTCGCCAAAGTCCTCTCAGAAGCCCGCCTCACTACCTGCCCCCTGGACCCTATCCCCTCTCAACTCCTCCGGTCACCCCCCCCCCCGCCTCCCTCATCCGCTCCCTCACCCACATCTTCAATCTCTCCCCTCTCTACTGGCGTATTCCCCTCCCCCCTAAAGCACGCGCATATCACCCCCATCCTCAAAAAGCCCTCTCCTGGATCCCGCGGACCCCAACAACCTCAGACCCATCTCCCTGCTGCCACTCACCTCCAAGCTCCTTGAACGCATAGTCTACGATCGCCTAAGCGCCCACCTTATTGACAATAACCTCCTTGACCCTCTACAGTCTGGCTTCCGTCCCCTACACTCCACTCAAACTGCCCCTCCTCAAAATCACTAACGACCTACTAAACACCAAAGCCAAGGGCGACTACTCTGTCCTCCTTCTCCTGGACCTCTCTGTGGCCTTCGACACAGTTGACCACCCCTCCTCCTTAATAAACTACTCTCCCTTGGCATCAGAGATACTGCTCTCTCTTGGTTCTCATCCTACCTATCCCGACGCTCCTTCAGTGTCACCTACAATGGTGCCACATCCCCCTCCCTCCCCCTCCCTGTTGGGGTCCCCCAAGGCTCTGTCCTTGGACCCCTTCTCTTCTCCATCTACACCTCCTCCCTGGGCAAACTCATACACTCTCCACGGCTTCAACTATCACCTCTACGCTGACGACACCCAAATCTACCTCTCCACCCCTCTCCTCACCCCCACTATCTCCGCCCGCATCACTCACCTCCTAAATGACATCTCAGACTGGATGTCGCTACATTTCCTCAAGCTCAACCTCTCCAAAACCGAGCTCCTCGTCTTTCCCCCTGCCAACACCCCCCCCCCCCCCCCATCCTATCCATCATCACCAACAACTCCACTATCACTCCCGCCCCGCAAGCCAAAGTCCTTGGCGTCATTCTTGACTCGAACCTCTCCTTCCAACCGCATGTCAAATCACTCACAAACACATGTAGGCTCAACCTCCGCAACATTGCCAAGATACGCTCCTGCCTTACCCCAGACCCACCAAACTTCTAGTACACTCCCTCATCATCTCACGCCTTGACTACTGTAATTCTCTTCTCACCGGCCTACCCAAGCGCAGGCTCTCCCCGCTCCAGACCATCCTGAACTCAGCTGCCAGATTCATCCACCTCACCACCCGCTCCACCTCTGCCACCCCCCTCTGCCTCTCCCTCCACTGGCTCCCGATTGCCCAACGCATCAAATTTAAACTCCTAACCCTGACCTACAAAGCCGTTCATAACACTGCCCCTGACTACCTCACCAACCTGATCCCCAAGTACCACCCTACCCGTACCCTTCGCTCCTCACAGGACCTCCTTCTATCCTGCTCCCTGGTCTCCTCCTCCCATGCACGACTGCAGGACTTCTCCAGGTCCTCCCCCATCCTCTGGAACTCACTGCCCCAATCCATCAGACTGTCGCCTTCCCTCCTCACATTCAGGCGCTCCCTCAAAACCCCCATCTCTTCAGGGAAGCCTACCCCACCCTCACCTAACGGCCATTCTCCCTCTTTCCTCCCACCCCTCAGCCACTTCCTACTGTACCTTTACCCCCTCCCACCTAGATTGTAAGCTCGAAAGAGTAGGGCCCTCTTACCCCTCGTACGTTGTTTGTTATTGTTGTACTGTGCCATGTATTGTCCCCCCCCCCCATTGTACAGCGCTGAGCAAACCCTTTGGCGCTATATAAACTTGTAGTAATAATAATAATAATAATAATAACAACTTACTGTTTAGAGTGTTGAGTCTATTTCTGTATATAGCTGCGTTTGCATGTGATCATGTGATCAGTCTCAGTGTGTATTGTATAAAAAGCCCGTTTGAGTTTAAAATAAAGAGTTCCATGTTCAGACAGACTGTCGTCTTGTCTTGTATGGTCGGCTGTGGTGTCTGTTGTCGATGTTCGGATGGGGAAGCGGTATTCTAACGGAAATACTCAAGCGCAGTCTGGGTCGGTTCCGTTACACCCATAAAGTCTGCTTCTACATCAGGGTCCCCACCAGAGTACATCAGGGTCCCCACCCCCCCTTACATCAGGGTCCCCACCAGAGTACTCCCTTACATCAAAGTCAACATTAAAGTCCGCTTCTACATCAGGGTCCCCACCAGAGTCCCCCCTTACATCAGGGTCCCCACCAGAGTACTCCCTTACATCAAAGTCAACATTAAAGTCCGCTTCTACATCAGGGTCCCCACCAGAGTCCCCCCTTACATCAAAGTCAACATTAAAGTCCGCTTCTACAGCAGGGTCCCCACCAGAGTCCCCCCTTACATCAGGGTTTCCACCAGAGTACCCCCTTACATCAAGGTCAACATCAAAGTCCGCTTCTACAGCAGGGTCCCCACCAGAGTCCCCCCCTTACATCAGGGTTTCCACCAGAGTCCCCCCTTACATCAAGGTCAACATTAAAGTCCGCTTCTACAGCAGGGTCCCCACCAGAGTGCCCCCTTACATCAGGGTCCCCACCAGAGTCCCCCCTTACATCAGGGTTTCCACCAGAGTACCCCCTTACATCAAGGTCAACATCAAAGTCCGCTTCTACAGCAGGGTCCCCACCAGAGTCCCCCTTTACATCAGGGTTTCCACCAGAGTCCCCCCCTTACATCAAGGTCAACATTAAAGTCCGCTTCTATAGCAGGGTCCCCACCAGAGTGCCCCCTTACATCAGGGTTTCCACCAGAGTACCCTCTTACATCAAGGTCAACATTAAAGTCCGCTTCTACAGCAGTGTCCCACCAAAGTACCCCCTTACATCAGGATCCCCATCAGAGTGCCCCATTATATCAGGGTTCCCAATTACACCAGGTTCCCCATCAGAGTTCCTCCCTTCATCAGAAGTGAAGACCTTAGGCAGTGTCTACAGTGCCGTTAATTCTAACTGGGGGTAAGCTAAAATCTTGCAGCAGGCCATAGTTTGAAAACCCTGGCTTAAAATATACTGAGATGCTGAGATAAGAGTTCCCCCTTACATTAGGGTTCCCATCAGAGTACCCCCTTACATCAGGGTACCCACCAGAGTACCCCCCTTACTTCAGGGTACCCACCAGAGTACCCCTTTACATCAGGGTACCCACTAGAATACCCCCTTACATCAGGGTACTCACCATAGTATCCCTTTACATCAGGGTACCCAGAGTACCCCCTTACATCAGGGTACCCACCAGAGTGCCTCCTTACATCAAGATCCCAACCAAAAGTGCCCCTGCCACATCAAAGTCCCCATCAGAGTGCTCCTTTACATTTACATTAGGGTGCACTCTTGCACTAGGTTCCCCATCAGAGTCCCCTCATCAGAATGCTCCCTTACATCACAAGTGGAGACCTAATACAGCTTCACCTGTGCTCTTTTGAGGATAAACCATTAATCCAAGCAGGGAGCAAGCTAAAATTTTGCAGCAGGCCATAGTTTGGAAACCCTGGTATAGAACACGGTATATTAAAGCGTAATTCCACTCAAAAGCGGAAGCTCCACTTACTTGCCTCCTCCCCCTCCACTGCCATATTTGGCATCTTTTAAAGGGGGGAGCGGATACCTGTTTTTGACAGGTGCCCTCTTCCACTTCTGGCTCAGTTCGCCGCGGGGACTTGTTAAGCCCCGAGGACTCCCGATTCCTGGTCACATGATCTCAGTGATCGGTCACTGTACAGCCCGGCCCCCTTGTTTCTTTTTTTTCTCTCTCTCTAAATGCAGGAGAGAGATACATTGTATCTCTCTAACTCCTGGCATAGAGGGGGAAAAATTTTTTGTAAAAAAAAAAAAAGATAAATAAATATTAACCACTTCCAGTCCGGACACTTTCCCCCCCCTTCCAGTCCGGACACTTTCCCCCCCCTTCCAGTCCGGACACTTTCCCCCCTTCCAGTCCGGACACTTTCCCCCCCCTTCCAGTCCGACACTTCCCCCCCCCTTCCAGTCCGGACACTTCCCCCCCTTCCAGTCCGGACACTTCCCCCCCCCCTTCCAGTCCGGACACTTTCCCCCCCCCCTTCCAGTCCGGACACTTTCCCCCCCCTTCCAGTCCGGACACTTTCCCCCCCCTTCCAGTCCGGACACTTTCCCCCCCTTCCAGTCCGGACACTTCCCCCCCCTTCCAGTCCGGACACTTTCCCACCCCCCCCCCCTTCCAGTCCGGACACTTCCCCCCCCTTCCAGTCCGGACACATCCCCCCCCCTTCCAGTCCGGACACTTTCCCCCCCTTCCAGTCTGGACACTTTCCCCCCCTTCCAGTCCGGACACTTTTCCCCCCCTTCCAGTCCGGACACTTTCCCCCCCTTCCAGTCCGGACACTTTCCCCCCCCTTCCAGTCCGGACACTTTCCCCCCCCCCCCCCCCCTTCCAGTCCTGTCCGGACACTTTCCCCCCCTTCCAGTCCGGACACTTTCCCCCCCCTTCCAGTCCGGACACTTCCCCCCCCTTCCAGTCCGGACACTTTTTCCAGTCTGGACACTTTCCCCCCCTTCCAGTCCGGACACTTTCCCCCCTTCCAGTCCGGACACTTTCCAGACACCCCCCCCTTCCTGTCCAGACACTTCCCCCCTTCCTGTCCAGGCCAATTTTCAGCCTTAGGTGCTATCACACTTTGAATGACAATTGCGCGGTCATGCAACACTGCACCCATATGAATTTTTTGAGCATTTTTTTGACACAGATAAAGCTTTATTTTGGTGGTATTTATTCACCACTGGGATTTTTTTTTTTTTTGCTATATAAATGAAAAAGTCCAAAAATTTTGAAAAAATTTGTTTTTCTTATAAAATTTTGCAAATAAATATTTCATCATAAATCTTGGCCAAAATGTATTCAGCTATCTTTTTAGTAAAAAAAATAACCCAAATTTGCTTATAACAAAAAATTATAATTTTTAAAAAAAATTTATTTTACGTTTTTATATTATTTGTTTTTTTCTTTTTACATACTGTCACCCTAGCAGTACTAACACTGTACTACTTGTGGGGGGTGATGAAGATTTTTTTTTTTTTTTTTTACACTGATTGCTTTTAAACCCATAAAGGCTGTAAGAGCAATCATTTCTCCTTCTCTCTGGCTGCATTCTTGCAGCCATTGAGAACTACTGTGTGAGCTGTGATTGGTCACAGCTTGTCACATGGTACAAGGCTGTTGTGAATAGCCCTGTACCATGTGACCTCTGTGATCATTCACAGATTTCACACCTAGTAAGCAATGATGTCAGAAGTGACATCTTGCTTACTACTCTGCATGTGATCACTGATTGGTCAATCAGTGATCACATGATCGGGACCTCGCAGAGAGGTCCCGTCCGACGATCAGTGTTCCACTGTGTCCGGAGGACACAGCGGGCACCGGAAAGCGGTGCTGCGTGCTGCCAGGGAGCGCGCACAGTCCAAAATGGCGGGCGCCGTTTATGAATGGCAACCTGCCCCTGCACCGCCACTGTATACAAACGGCTGGACGGCAAGTGGTTAAAAAAATAAAATAAAAAAACCTAGATCCAGGTTTGATCTAGTTCAGTGCCAGGGTACGTGTGGGTTCAGGGTCAAGGTCAGGGTCAAAAGTCAGGATTTAAAAAAAAAAAATTTGGTGTCAGTGTTTTAGGTAAAAAAAAAAAAAGATAAAAACAAAATGCTCCCTATTGTTTCTGGGCGGTACTACGGGTACAAACAACAAATAACATACACATATATGGTATCGCTGCGATCGGCAAGAGCTGGAGAATTTATTTTGGGTTGTTCTTTGGTGGTAGGTTATGGTAGTAACAAGAAACACACAGCTAATAAAAAAAAAAAAAAAAAAAAAAAAAAAAATTTCTACTATTTTGGGCCAGTTTTCCGTTGATAATAATAATTTTTAAAAAAAAGGAGATGTCCATTACCATTTACCACACAATGAAAGCCCAATTTGTCCTGAAAAGAACGCGGTATAATCCACCTGGATGTACAAAGTAGTTGTGATGATGTGTATGATTTTACTAACGCGTGTCAAAGTTGCAAAATTGTGCTTAGACATTTAGATTTGTTTTACCCTTAGGCGCAAAAGGGTTAACTTACTGAGGCCGGTGTAATCTTCCAGGTTAAAGTTCCACATCTTGGTGGGGGGGTCTGGAATACACACAAAACAAAATTCAGTGTCAGCCATAAACATGCAGCAGCAGAAAATCAATGGAGTGCATTCACCCAGCCCTATAAATCTCACTTTGTACAGCGATAGATCTATGGCTCAAACCGATCGCTGCGCTATAGAGGACGACACCGCTAATTCTCCCAGCCTATCATGATTAGGATGTGAAGAAATGTGGCCACAAAAGGGGGTTATGTACTAAAACTGGAGGGTGCAAAATCTGACGCAGCTCTGCATAGAAACCAATCAGCTTCTAGGTTTTATTGTCAAAGCTGAATTGAACAAACTGAAGCTAGAAGCTGATTGGCTGCCATGCAGAGCTACTCCAGATTCTGAACACCCCATTCCAAAGTCATGAGCCTTAACCACTTCAGTCCCGGCAACGTACCCATACAACGTACCCATACAACGTACCCATACAACAGTACCCATACAACGTACCCATACAACGTACCCATACAACGTACCCATACGTACCCATACACGTACCCATACAACATACAACGTACCCATACAACCCATACAACGTACCCATACAGCGTACCCATACAACGTACCCATACAACGTACCCATACAGCGTACCCATACAACGTACCCATAAACAGCGTACCCATACAACGTACCCATACAGCGTACCCATACAGCGTACCCATACAACGTACCCATACAACGTACCCATACAGCGTACCCATACAGCGTACCCATACAGCGTACCCATACAGCGTACCCATACAGCGTACCCATACAACGTACCCATACACCATACACGACGTACCCATACATCGTACCCATACATCGTACCCATACAGCGTACCCATACATCGTACCCATACAACGTACCCATACACGTACCCATACACGTACCCATACAACGTACCCATACAACGTACCCATACAGCGTACCCATACAGCGTACCCATACATCGTACCCATACAACGTACCCATACAACGTACCCATACAACGTACCCATACAACGTACCCATACATCGTACCCATACAACGTACCCATACATCGTACCCATACAACGTACCCATACAACGTACCCATACATCGTACCCATACAGCGTACCCATACAGCGTACCCATACAGCGTACCCATACAACGTACCCATACAACGTACCCATACAGCGTACCCATACAGCGTACCCATACAGCGTACCCATACAGCGTACCCATACAACGTACCCATACAACGTACCCATACAACGTACCCATACAGCGTACCCATACAACGTACCCATACAACGTACCCATACAACGTACCCATACAACGTACACAGCGTACCCATACAACGTACCCATACAACGTACCCATACAACGTACCCATACAACGTACCCATACATCGCGGAGGTCTGAGTGGTTATTGTTGCTTCTCAGCCGGTGATGTTGTGTTTTGTATAAGCAATCCTGGCAGCTAAGTTGCTGCTGAATCGCTTTTACAGGCGGCAGAAGGGGGTCCCCTCCTGTACACACGTCCCCAGATCCCTGCTGTACACACATATCCCCAGATCCCTGCTGTACACACATATCCCCAGATCCCTGCTGTCACACACATATCCCCAGATCCCTGCTGTACACACACACATCCCCAGATCCCTGCTGTACACACATATCCCCAGATCACACATCCCCAGATCCCTGCTGTACACACATATCCCCAGATCCCTGCTGTACACACATATCCCCAGATCCCTGCTGTACACACATATCCCCAGATCCCTGCTGTACACACATATCCCCAGATCCCTGCTGTACACACATGCTGTACACACATATCCCCAGATCCCTGCTGTACACACATATCCCCAGATCCCTGCTGTACACACATATCCCCAGATCCCTGCTGTACACACATATCCCCTGCTGTACACACATATCCCAGATCCCTGCTGTACACACATATCTCCAGGCCTCTGCTGTACACCCATCTCCAGGCCTCTGCTGTACACACATATCCCCAGATCCCTGCTGTACACACACATCCCTGCTGTTCACACATATCCCCAGATCCCTGCTGTACACACATATCCCCAGATCCCTGCTGTACACACATATCCCCAGATCCCTGCTGTACACACATATCCCCAGATCCCTGCTGTACACACACATCCCCAGATCCCTGCTGTACACACATCCCCAGATCCCTGCTGTACACACATCCCCAGATCCCTGCTGTACACACATCCCCAGATCCCTGCTGTACACACATCCCCAGATCCCTGCTGTACACACATCTCCAGGCCTCTGCTGTACACACATCTCCAGGCCTCTGCTGTGCACACATCTCCAGGCCTCTGCTGTGCACACATCTCCAGGCCTCTGCTGTGCACACATCTCCAGGCCTCTGCTGTGCACACATCTCCAGGCCTCTGCTGTGCACACATCTCCAGGCCTCTGCTGTGCACACATCTCCAGGCCTCTGCTGTACACACATCTCCAGATCCCTGCTGTACACACATATCCCCAGATCCCTGCTGTACACACATATCACCAGATCCCTGCTGTACACACATATCACCAGATCCCTGCTGTACACACATATCACCAGATCCCTGCTGTACACATATATCCCCAGATCCCTGCTGTTTACACATCCCCAAATCCCTGCCGTACACACATATCCCCAGATCCCTGCCGTACACTCATATCCCCAGATCCCTGCCGTACACACATATCCCCCAGATCCCTGCCATACACTCATATCCCCAGATCCCTGCCGTACACACATATCCCCAAATCCCTGCTGTACACACATATCCCCAGATGCCATACATACACACATATCCCCAGATCTCTGCTGTACACACATCCCCAGAATCCCAGCCTCATTGCTTCTGCACAGGAGAGCAATGAAGGGAGGGGGGACGGAAGCTGCTGGCTGTTTTGACAGCTACTAAATGAACATGTTGACATCTTTGCACTGATTGACAAGGAATTCCCTTAATTTGCAGGGATTTCCTCTGACTTCCTGTTTGACTATGAAACAGGAAGTGAAGGGAAATCTCTGCATTGGGCCACAGATGGTGAAAAAAAATCAGACAGTGGATATAACCCTCCCTTACTCTAGAACTATAGGCAAAACCTTGTTTTTTTTGGATACTTTAAAAAGAAAACAAAAAAGTAAACAGAAAAGGTTGTGAAAAGGCAAGGCACCACCCCCCAGTAGTAGATTTAATAGGATTTTAGGGAAAGGACACATGTTCTTAAAAGCCCAACTCCAGGCAAAAAAATGGTTTCCCATGCAGTGGGGCTGTGCCAGCATCGCACGGGTTAACTGCTCGTTTTTTTTTTCTAGGAGAGCACAGGACCATTTCGGAATCCCCGCGCCCCAGTAGTCTTGAATAGTGGACTGTTTCTGACGTCATCAAGCCCAGAGCAAGCTCCATAGACCAGGAACAGTCCACCGCTGGACCGGGGGGAGCCCAGTTTTCCAGGGTATCGAAGGATCGGGTGAGTATGAGCTTTTTGCTCAGCCCTAGACAAAATGAGCAGTTAACCCTTGCAGTGCGGGAAAAGCCCCCTTGCAGTACAAACATTTTTTTCCCTCAGAGTTGGGCTTTGTAGTGCAAGTTCACCTTTTCACAAAAAAATAAAAGGTTGAACTTTTACTGTACACCCTCTCCACCCACCTGATTTCTGCTGCATTTTCTTTTGTGGGTCATTGGGTGTCACCGGCCAATCAGCCGGTGCAGTAGTCAGGTGATTCGAAAGCCCCGCTCTTCTTCTCCTTCGTTCCTTAACATATCAGAGCGATTCTGTTATTCAGAATCGCTCTGATCCATCGCAGAAGCCCCGAGGAAAAAAGGGGAAGAACAGCGGGGCTTTCAAGTCCCCAGTCTGCTGCACCGGCTGATTGGCCAGTGACAGCCAATCGCGCACGAGGGTAAATGCAGCGGGAATCAGGTGGGTGGACAAGGTGTACGTTATTAGTTCAAGTTTTCATTTTTCATGTGAAAAGGTGAACTTTCACATCCTAAAGTCGTTGTAAACCCTTCTATATACCCAGTGAGGTGACTGGCCTCCGATGATACACAGAGATGAAACAAATCCTCCTACATAAGTTGTACCTGTTTATTTGCAGTCTTCTCTTCTCTACAGCTGTTCAAAGGCCAGAATTTATAGAGCTTGTCTGAGAGTTTAGAAAAATGGGGTGGAGAGCTGAAATTACACACTACAGAGCACAGTGAGAATTCTGAGAGCTGATTGGAGGCAAGAGACACACCCCCCTCCACACAGCACACAGGAACAGAATTGAAGCTGTCAATCTGCTGGAGCTCCCTCCCCTGTCACCATTTTTCTCTTGGTGTCAGGAAAACGTGTCAGAAGCGACTCATGCAGATAGCAGAGGAAGGAGGCAGCAGACAGAAATGACACTTAGCACTCTGGACTGAGACAAGTACACATTATAGAGGGATATGCTTTGTTCATGTTTCATGTCTGAAGTTTACAACCACGTTAACCTCTTCACGCCTGGCGAACGCAAATGGGCGGCCTCCCGGCGTCTGGGCCTAGACACCAAGCGGCCGCACATTTGCGTTCTATTACAAAAAAACATGTGCTGAGAGCGTGCGCCCTGTGCACTCCCAGCACACATGTCTGGTATTCACGGAAGGGTCCCGATCTTCTCTTTCGATCGGGACCTTTCCCGATCATGTGACCACCGTGAATGCTTGTCACGGCGGTCACATGACCCTAAACCCCGCCCTGCCTTCTGAAACCCTTAAAGGGTCGGGAGGCGCCGGCGCCAAGAGGTTAAATGACAAAACATTATCTAGACAGTACACATGTTCTTAAAAGCCCAACAATGTTTTCCCATGCAATGGGGCTGTGCCAGCATCGCACGGGTTAACTGCTCGTTTTTTTTTCTAGGAGAGAGCAGAGTGGAGACTTACTTGATCCTCCCAGCACAGGACCATTTCGGAACCCCCACGCCCCAGCAGTCTTGAATAGTAGACTGTTTCTGATGTCATCAAGCCCAGAGCAAGCTCCATAGACCAGGAACAGTCCACCGCTGGACCGGGGGGAGCCCAGTTTTCCACCCGATCGAAGGATCGGGTGAGTATGAGCTTTTTGCTCACCCCTAGACAAAATGAGCAGCCGCACATCTGCGTTCTAGTAAAAGAAAACATATGTGCTGAGTGCGCGTGCCCTGTGAGCTCCCAGCACACATGTCCGGTACTCACGGAAAGGTCCCGATCTCCTCTTTCGATCGGGACCTTTCCTGATCATGTGGCGGCACGTCACGGAGGTCACATGACCCTAAACCCCGCCCCTTGAAACCCTTAAAGAGCCGGGGGAGGCGCCGGCGCCAAGGGGTTAAACGACAAAACATTATCTAGAGATGTTGTTTTTTTTTTCTCTTTATCTGGATTATCAGAAACAAATCCTGTTACATTACCAACTGACCGTAATTTTTGCCGGGGATCGTTTTAAACAAAGCAATGAGCTCTGCATTGTAACCCACTTCGACCCGGAATCGATCTTCGGCGTATTTAACGCACCTTCCTTTCACGGCCGTCACCGGTTTCTTAGTCTGAGTCGTATCCGAGACGCCGGCGGTGCCGCCGCCGCCTGCCTTCTCTCTGCCATCTGTCTTGTTCCCGGCAGCGGAAACATATTTGGAGCTATTGCCGTAAAACTGAGACACGTTACTTGTACTCCTTGCAGGCCCCGTGGTGTCTTTCGTGGCACCAGGAGGTGCGTCTGATGACTTGTGTGGATTTGGTTCGGATAGCTCGTGGCTTTGGTTTGGTGCTGCCGTAGTGCCAAAGTTCTGAGGCTGAAGATTCTGTCCAGATGCGAGCGGTAAAGGCGAGGGATCATTTTGACAAGAAGACTGTGCCTCTGTCCTTGTATTAGAGAAGTGACTTTGGGCAAGGCCAACCAAAGCCTGCGCAGGCCCCCCCCTGTTAGCGCCACCTATTGAGTGCAAATGAAAACTTCCGGATTTGGAAGGGGTCACCTTCGCACTATTATTCGGTCCCGCTTCTTTGCCGGTTGGGGGGACAGTAAAACCTTGCTGCTTGTTTTGTTGCAAGTTCCCTCCAAGGTTTGATGCCTGGACGTTGGAAGAGACAACAGAGCTCTGGTTAATTCCATTCTTCTGCGCCGCGAGTCTCTCGGCTCTCCTCGCCAAGGCCTTCTGACGGTTCTCCTCGATCTTCCTCTTCTGCTCCTCCGTCAGGCAGACTGACATCTTTTCGGATGAGCTTCAAACTTCTGAAATGACCTGTCGGCATCTGGAAAACAAGGAAGCGTTACTGACCAGGAACGCAATTCAACGGACGGAGGTGTTACGCTTTATTAATCTAAAGATCGAATCATTTTAGGATGCGGTGAAGAAATCAATTAAGCGGATGTTCCCCCCTCCAGGGACAGCCGTATACTTCATTTCCAAGAACTATGTTCACAGACAGTGCCGTATTTCATGTTTACGTCTGAAGAGGCGACGAAGCCAACATAAACCGCTCTGTCACGTCTCCGCCGTTTACATCGATTAATAATAAACTGCGCAAACGGTAAATGAGGAAGTCGTTACCATACAAATGTATCTCAGCAGAGTCCGTGTGATGCCTACAGATTCCCGGCTGGAGAAAAAGAATGTTAAACCACTTCCAGTCCGGACACTTTCACCCCCTTCCAGTCCGGACGCTTTCCCCCCCTTCCAGTCCGGACGCTTTCACCCCTCATCCAGTCCGGGCGCTTTCTCCCCCTTCCAGTCCGGACGCTTCCCCCCCCTTCCAGTCCGGACGCTTTCCTCCCCTTCCAGTCCGGACGCTTTCCTCCCCTTCCAGTCCGGACGCTTTCACCCCCTTCCAGTCCGGACGCTTTCACCCCCTTCCAGTCCGGACGCTTTCCCCCCCCCTTCCAGTCCGGGACGCTTTCACCCCCTTCCAGTCCGGACGCTTTCCCCCCCTTCCAGTGCGGACGCTTTCCCCCCTTCCAGTCCGGACGCTTTCCCCCCCTTCCAGTCCGGACGCTTTCACCCCCCTTCCAGTCCGGACGCTTTCACCCCCCTTCCAGTCCGGACGCTTTTTCAACCCCCCCTTCCAGTCCGGACGCTTTCACCCCCCTTCCAGTCCGGACGCTTTCACCCCCCTTCCAGTCCGGACGCTTTCACCCCCCTTCCAGTCCGGACGCTTTTCACCCCCTTCCAGTCCGGACACTTTCCCCCCCTTCCAGTCCGGACACTTTCCCCCCCTTCCAGTCCGGACACTTCCCCCCCCCCCTTCCAGTCCGGACATTTTCACCCCCTTCCAGTCCGGACACTTTCCCCCCCTTCCAGTCCGGACACTTTCCCCCCCCTTCCAGTCCGGACACTTTCCCCCCCCCTTCCAGTCCGGACACTTCCCCCCCCTTCCAGTCCGGACACTTTCCCCCCCCCCTTCCAGTCCGGACACTTTCCCCCCCCTTCCAGTCCGGACACTTTCCCCCCCCTTCCAGTCTGGACACTTTCCCCCCCCCCTTCCAGTCGGACACTTTCCCCCCCTTCCAGTCCGGACACTTTCCCCCCCCTTCCAGTCCGGACACTTTCCCCTCTTCCTGTCCAGGCCAATTTTCAGCTTTCAGCGCTATCACACTTTGAATGACAATTGCGCGGTCATGCAACACTGTACCCATATGAATTTTTTAGTATTTTTTTGAGACAGATAAAGCTTTATTTTGGTGGTATTTATTCACCGCTGGGATTTTTTTTTTTTGCTATATAAGTGAAAAAGTCCCAAAATTTTGAAACAAAGTGTTTTTCTTATAAAATTTTGCAAATAAATAATATTTCATCATAAATCCTGGCCAAAATGTATTTTATCTTTTTAGTAAAAAAAAAAAAATAACTCAAATTAGTTTATAACCAAAAATTATCATTTAAAAATTTTTTTTTTACATTTTCTTTTTTTATATTATTTGTTTTTTTTTTCTCTACACACTGTCACCCTAGCAGTACAATGTCACCATGGTGACACTGTACTACTTGTGGGGGGTGATGAAAAATTTTTTTTTCTACACTGATTGATTTTACACCCATAAAGGCTATAAAAGCAATCATTTCTCCTTCTTTCTGGCTGCATTCCTGCAGCCATTGAGAACTACTGTGTGAGCCGTGATTGGTCACAGCTTGTCACATGGTACAAGGCTGTTGTGAATAGCCCTGTACCATGTGATCTCTGTGATCATTCACAGATTTCACACGTAGTAAGCAATGATGTCAGAAGTGACATCTTGCTTGCTACTCTGCATGTGATCACCGATTGGCTAATCAGTGATCACATGATTGGGACTTCGCACAGAGGTCTTGTACGACGATTGGTGTTCCACTGTGTCCGGAGGACACAACGGGCACTGGATCGCGGTAGCGTGCACAGTCCAAATTGGCAGGCACGTTTATGAACGGAAACCCGCCCCTGCACTGCCACCGTCTGGCCGTTTATATACGGCGGCCGGACGGCAAGTGGTTAAAGCCTTTGTAAAGTGTTTTTTTATTATTATTATTATAATAGCAAACATGTTATACTTACCTGCTCTGTGTAATGGCAGTGCACAGAGCGGTCCCGAATCTCCTCTTCTGAGGTCCCCCGCCATCGCTCCAGGTTCCTCCTCTTCTCTGTGTGCCACTACAGGAAGCTGCTTCCGATGGCGGCACACCGGCAGGCTCCATTCCAAAGTGGGCTGCGTGAATCTATTGACACACGCAGCTCGGTTCTGCCCTGCCCTGCCCTCCTGCTCAGAGGATTTGATTGACAGCAGCAGGAGCCAATGGCTTCCATTGCTGCCTCTGTAAGCAGAGAGAAGGGAGAGAGCCGCTACAGATGGGCATCGCTGGATCAAGATAAGACTCAGTTAAGTATAAAGGGAGGTGAGGGGGGAGGGGGGGGGGGGGGGGGGGCAATACACACACTGGGACATTTAAAATAATAAAAACTTCAGGCTTTAACCCCCTCGCCTTCCAGAGGATTCCCCCCCCCCCCCTTCCTGACCAGGCCATTTATTGCGTTACGGCGCTGCGTTACTTTAACTGACAATTGCGCGGTCATACAACGCTGCACCCAAATGAAATTTACGTCCCACAATTAGAGCTTTCTTTCGGTGGTATTTGATCACGCCTGTGCAGTTTTTATTTTTTGCTCTCTAAAACAAAAAAAAAATTTTTTTTTACTTTTTGCTATTAAACATGTCCAATAAAAAGCCAGGCCATTTTTTGCGTTACGGCGCTGCATTGCTCTAACTGACAATTGCGCGGTCATGCTGAACCTAAATTAAATTTATGTCCTTTTTTTCCCACGAATTGAGCTTTCTTTTGATGGTATTTGATCCTCTCTGCATTTCTGATTTTTTTTGCGCTATAAGCAAAAAAAGACCAACCATTTTGAAAAAAAAAAAACAATATTTTGGACTTTTTGCTATTAAACACGTCCAGTAAAAAAAATTTTAAAAAATCTAATTTCGGCATAAATTTAGGCCAAAATATATTCTGCTCCGTGTCTTTGCTAAAAAAAAAAAAAAAAAAATCCCGATACGTGTAAATTAATTGGTTTACGTGAAAGTGATAGCGTTTACAAATGGCGGGATTATTTTTTTCTTCTAACTAGTAATGGCGGCAATCAGCGACTTATAGTGGGACTGCGGTGGGCATTCTGACACGGGGGGGGGGGGGGGTAAATAACTGCCACTAACATCCCCAGTGACACCAATACAGTGATCAGGGCTAATAGAAAGCACTGACACTGTACTAATGGCACTGGGCAGGAAGGGGTTGACATCTGGGGCTATCAAAGGGTTAACTGTGTGCTGTGTGTTTTACTGTGTAGACATGCTGCTTTGTATTGCTCTGCTGTGCACTGCAAAATGGACAAAACGCAAACTGAATTGGTGTGAACCAGGCCTGAAATGCATCGAAAACGCAAAAAAAAACCACGTGTTGAGTTTTGATGTTTTTGTCACATTACCTATGATAAACGCACCCTAAACCTGATAAAATCGCAGAAAAAAAAAAGCATGTTTTGGCAGCCATTATCGACACCTTTTTTGTACCGCCTCTCAGTGCAGCCTCATCAGCACTCATCAGTGAAGGGAAAAAATTACTTGTTTACAAAATTTTATAACAAACCAGGAAAAAACTTTTTTTTTTTCTCAAAATGTTGTCTTTTTTTCGTTTGTTTTTTAGCCAAAAATCAAACCCCAAGTGGTGATTAAATGCCACCAAAAGTAAGCTCTGTCTGTCTCAAAAAATGATAAAAATGTCATATGGGTACAGTGTTGCATGACTGCGCAATTGTCAAAGTGTGACAGTGCTGAAAGCTGAAAACTGGCCTGGGCAGGAAGGGGGGGGGGGGGGGAGTGCCTGGCAGGCGAGAGGTTAAGGGCTCAGGCATGTTAGGGGTTTGGGGGGGGTGGTGAAACCCAACAGTTGAGCTGCACTTTTATCGCCCTCCAACTTCTACACCCCTGCAGCTGCCACAGAAAATCAGCCCGAAAATAGGTCAGAATAGACATCTTTCTGACACAGGTTAGTCACCAGAGGTGTCAGGAGGGGGGAGGGGGAGGGGGAGGCGGACTAGTAAGGTTTCAGCTGGAATTCTACTTTAATGGTTGCAGCATGTGCTGAGAAGTGCCAATGGTTGTAAATGCGGCTTCATTGGTGTCAGTGGGAGGAAAAAATGCGGCAGTGTTGGTGTCATTAAGAGGGGAGAATGCAACTGTGTCGGTGTCAGTGGGGGGGATAAAATGTCACTACATTGGTGTCAGTGGGAGGAAAAAAAATACAGTTCCTTTGGTGTCAGTAGGAGGACAAAATGCCACTGTATTATTGTAAGTGGGAAGTTAAAATGTTGCTGTGTTGGTGTCAGTAGAAGGATAGAATGTTACTGTGTTGGTGTCATTGGGAGGATAGAATGCTGCTGTCTTGGTGTCATTGGGAGGATAGAATGCGGCTGTGTTGGTGTCATTGGGAGGATAGAATGCGGCTGAGTTGGTGTCATTGGGAGGATAGAATGCGGCTGAGTTGGTGTCATTGGGAGGATAGAATGCGGCTGAGTTGGTGTCATTGGGAGGATAGAATGCAGCTGTCTTGGTGTCACTGGGAGGGAAGAATGCGGCTGTGTTGGTGTCATTGGGAGGATAGAATGCGGCTGAGTTGGTGTCATTGGGAGGATAGAATGCGGCTGAGTTGGTGTCATTGGGAGGATAGAATGCGGCTGTGTT